TTCAAAAATTAAGTTTCAAAATCCAAAAGTCTGGGGGTGTGTGGGTGTGTGTGTATTCTATTAAATTAGTTTCGTAAAATCAGGCGTCCACTTACCTTTTAAAGTTGGACTCCCTAAAATACAAATTCACCTCCCTACAATACAAATTCACCACACAACCCAATATGAACAACACAGATATATATATCCTATTAACATGTATCGGCGTCAAAATCAACAATTCAGGTAACAATTCGAAGGTTCTATTCAATTAGTTGTCGCCAAAATCGGTTATATTGAAAATAATCAGACAATTTAGATCACAAATTGAAGGTTCTCGTCCCATGTTGATCTATAATATGTGCAGATGAATTGGTGAGATGTGCACAATGTCTTTTAATTTGTGCATATCATCTATGACCTCTTTTAAGTTACATTTAACTTATAAACGATGAATCTGTGACATGTTAGCACTTCACAAACACGTGTGAACATTTATATTTAATCTATGGTTTTGGTAATTCATATGTGTCCTCCAATTTATATCATGTGACGTATGAAGTATAATCTGTAATTTGATATTGTAGTATGTGACAAATTCTGTGACCTATGGATAGAAAACTATGCAACTTGTGAGCTATGCAGAATAAATTGTAACTTGTGTAGTATACTTTGTGACCTAATGACAGCAATATGTGATCACTGCATTGGACTCTATGACATATGACCTTTTTCTAGTTACATTTAACTTGGAAACAATAAATATATGACATGTGCACATCAATTTGTGACATGTGAGCACTTCACGGACATATGTAAACATTTATATTTAATCTTTGGTATTGATAATTGATATGTGACCTCAAATTAATATCATGTGATATATGAAAAATAATTTGTGACCAATTCAGTATATTGTGACTGTGACCACTGCATTGGACTCTATGACATGTGTATAATAAACTAAGTAGCATAATCTATGACTTATAAACATGAATTAGCTGCATGTGTATGTTCAAAACTGAGTAGCATAACCTCTGTGTGTGTGTGTGTGCGCGCGCGCGCGCTCTGTATAACCTGTGACTTGAGAAGTGTAATATGTGTCATATGTAGTATAATATATGTCCTCTATAGTATAATATGTGACCAATGTATTATAATTTGTGGTCATTGGAGATAAACTGTACAATTGTACCAGAAACCTGTTACCAAGTGCAAATGAAACATGACACCAGAGTAATTTAACATTTCAAACATCTACTCAAATGTTAAACTAAATAAGTTTTCAACATCTCAATATACAACCACAATTTCATATTCATTACAATTAGTTCCATCGCGCACAATATTAAAAAGGAAAAATAAAATGAGACCAGTATTTATAAACTTTACAAATCCCTTCATCATCTTGATTTTCAAATATATTTTCAACTATCACTCTTTAACAATCATTTCTTCATTTGTAGGTTTTCCCCGCTTTGTAGGCTTCCTAATCTCCTGATGTTTATGAAGCATTGTTACTATATTCCGCCTAATCCTGCCAACATCAATTTTTTTTCAGTATGGACTCTCTATCGTCATGGAGCATATTCAAGGTTTTTAATCACGAATATAACAATTTATTAGGAATGAAAATTATTTAACTGGTGTACACTTTGAGATATTGGTCACAAACTTACCCATTCTTTTGATGCAGAAGGCTACTATCAATCATCACCCTCAAGTCCACGAAATCAGATTCGTTGAATCACAATTTCATGGCATTCTAGAAAGTGTTCAAAGCATGTTCCTATGAGTATATATCGTTGGGCTTCACTTAGATATGTTTTGAAATTTATCATAACACCATTTGTCATGGTAATGGTAATTTTTCCAGGAAACCAACAATTCTGTGGTATGATAAAGTTCCGTACTTGCATCACTTGTTTAAATGAAAACAATGCTAAAATCAAATTTGAAATGGTACAATAAACGAGGTCATAGATACAGATAATGATAGACAAGATTGTAAATCAGGTCACAAAAAATGGTTTTCAATCAAGTCACATATTGGAAATGTAAACTAAATCAGGTAACAGACATATAAAATATTAGACAATGAGTTAAATTAGATCACAGATACATATAATGGTATACAATCAGGTCAGATATTAGAAAAGAAAACTAAATCAGGTCACATATACATATAATGGTATATGATCATGTAAATAAGGTCACAATTGGATTGATAAGTCACATATGGCTTATTGTATGGCACAAACCATTCATTAATAAAAAAAAAATATCGATTTCTATAAAACAACACTTTTAAATGGAAACCCTCACAGGTTTCCTTTGCAACTAAAATTGAATCGAATAAAGGTCACAAATGTCCAATACATTTGTAATACTTGTTACCCATTAATTTTGGACTACATACATACAATTCAAATGAACAAAAAAATGAAAAAAAAAAAATTGAAATACCTTGTATGTGAACATTTTTTTGCCTGACCTATATGATATGTTTTTTTGATGGAATTTTTTTGGGGCTTTCCTCTAGCTCTTTTTTTTCTTCTTTTTACTTCCATCTGATGTCTCCTCTATTCTTCTTTCCCTTATTTCCACCCTTCAATTTAGCCATTATACTTCAGTTTCAGAATCTATAGCTTTCATAAAGTAAATAAAATACGTTTATATAGTAGGAGGATAATATACAATTGAGGACGAAATATACTGTTGAAGTCACCGGATGTTGGAGATTTAGGAACGTTGAATGTAGAAGAATCGTGGAGTCGTGGAGAATATGGAAGCTGTGTGTGAGAAAAATGAGGGTTTCAAAAATAAAGAAGTAAAAATAATCCAAAATTGAAATACTTAATTTACGGGATACATGCATCAATTGATTAAAATATTTAATATTTAATTAACATATTAAATACCTAAAAAGTGAATAAATAAACTTTATCTCTGATTTATGAAGTGTAATTTTTAAACACTTGTTGCTAGGTAAATTCCACTATTATTAAGCCCGTATTTGAGCCTCATTTTTTCAAAAATCTATTTTTTCAAGATTCATTTTAAACCAAATATTTTTCAATAAAATGATTTTACATGCAAATTGAAAATTTTTTCTTCTTTTTTAACCACATATTCTTTCAAAAATCACTATTATAAAATGCACTTTTTCCTCAAAATGGGGCTCAAACAAATGCTAAGGATGCACTCTCTAATATTTTGCTCACTGGATGGTGGAGGAACACAAAAGACGTTCAATGATTGATGATCATATTAAAAATAATAATGATACTTGTACAGCCAGTAAGTGTAGCAAAATTATATTCAAAACTTAAATACTATGATTTCTTAAAAAGAAGAAATGTGGATAAAATGACAGATACCAACCTTTTTCTGTACCTTCGATGGAGATTAGATTGACAAACATTGGTCAATACTTGTACAGCCAGTAAGTGTAGCAAAATTCTATTCAAAACTCAAATACTATGATTTCTTAAAAAGAAGGAATGTGGATAAAATGACAGATACCAACCTTTTTCTGTACCTTCGATGGAGATTAGATTGACAGACATTGGTCAAGCTAAGGAATACTTGTCCTAACTCCTAACATTTCGTGTTATGGGCCATCTTGGGGTGGTTAACATGATAGTCTCGTTGAATGCCTTCTAGGTCAAGTGACATTTGTCAATCTTGTTACCTCGGCGTGATGCTAATTTGTGTCTAGTCGAACTTGATTACGAGCTTAGTACAAAATATTGTACTTGCGATAATTTGCATTTTTCAAATTAGCCCCTATTTTATAGTTATTATTTGAAAAAAAATATAGAGTTTTGAATAGTAATTTTTTTAGAGAATATGTGATTAAAAAATTTTAAGTAAGTTTACGTACAAAATATTTTATTGTTTAAATATATTATTAGAAATGAGTATGGGAATTAAAAAAAAATTGAAATTATGATTGTTAAGTAGGGACTTAGCTCTTCTTTGGGCTCTATTAAAATTTTAATGCATTTTCCTCTATTTTCTTTTCAATCACACATTTTTAATAAAATAATATTACACGTAAATTCAAAATAATTAATTCTTTTTTTAACTACGCATTCTTAAAAAAAAATACTATTCTAAAATATATTTTCCTCAAATTTTGATTTTAATAGATCTAATATAATAATCCTATGGTAAAAAGCAATGTAAAATTAACCAAATATTATCGGCATAGACATTTTGTATTTTTGAGTTGAGACTTGTTAGGGCAAATTGCCTAACTCAAGATCTCTAGTTGGTTTTTGTACTTATAAATAATAATATAATTTGAATAAAATATCAATTGGAGCAATTCTATGTTGAATCTTGGTTTTTCAAAATTACATTCAAACTTTATGTTGAAGCACAATCAAATTTGAGTCGAGTGAACCACGTGTTCAAAGACGATCGAGTGTGTATATCTTTTCTTCTAACTCACGTATCTTGATATAAATTATGAGAGTGTCGAACGATGTTTATGTTTGGCAAAACTTTTTTTAAGATTATAAATTGATCAAATATTATTTTTATTCACACATTTTGTAAGTACCAAGGCTTGTTACATTTTGTTTATAAATAACGAATTACATAATTATAAACAACAATATTTTATTTGTAGTTTTTAATTTTTTTTTATAGTCAATTAAGAGTTGTGTATTCAATTGAGACTTTTAAAGAATTTTTAAAATTTAAAAAGTTTAGGTGTATTAAATGTAGTCTTTCTGAAATTCTCTAAAAGTATTGATCTATTCAATCGAGACTTTTCTAGGCTTTTAAATTCAATTGGGACTTTTAAAGATTTTTTGGGATTTAAAAAATTTAGGAGTATTCAAGACTTTTTGAAAATCTCTAAAAGTATTGACGTATTCAATCGAGACTTTTATAGTAAAAGTCACGATGTATTCAATTAAAACTTTCCAGAAGTCCCGCAAAGAGGATCAAGGGACCAGGGAGGTTTTAGATCTTCCCGGGGTTGGTCGTATGATGATGAAGATCACTTTATGCGAGGTGGTCGAGGTGGCAGAAGTGAAAGCGGTTGGTCTAAGAGCTCTAGAAGCAACAGGAGTGATTGGCTAATTGGTGATAGGAGATCAAGCCGGTCGTCATCTTTCAACTGTGGACGGACTGGCCACAGGGCATCAGAATGCCATACCAAGATTCCGATGCTCAAGGTAAGAATTGATTGTCATTGTTACAACCATATTTTTTTTAGTCAAAGTCTAAGGTTGAATTGTCAAAGTCTAGGTCAAATAGGACTTAAGTGAAGCAAGTAATTTTTCTTGGGGTTTATTTTGTAATGGATTATATATGAGAGTTAAGATGGATGAGATTTATAGTGGAGGATCTACTTATGCATCTAATGATAGCTGGGGACTTGCTTTGCAATTACCATCTAATGTCTCTCTAATTAGCAAGTTGTAGACTCTTTCCCTTTTCATTTTACACACATACACACACGAGACACACACCTGGAGAAGAACCGAGAGAGAGACCGAGAGAAAAGAGAGATAGAAGTGAAGGAAAGGAAATAGAAGAAGAAGAAAAGGAAAGGAAGAAAAGAATAGAAGAAGTAAGTATTATTTTCCTCAATTTTGGGTTTAATTTATATTATTTTTGTCAAGAGATAAAGGAATTCATTATGTCTATTTTCTAAGATTTTAATCTTGTTTCGGAATTTTTAAAGTAGGGAAAAGATTNAAAACAGCAAAGAGAACAACACCTAAAATTTTCCCATTTATGCCAATTTGTACAGTGTGGCATCATAAATGGTTGATCCCGTGTGGTTAACCATAATTTTTTTCCTTCTACATATAGGCCTTGTTTGAGAGGGATTAAATTTTTCTACAGTAAATCAATTCTCATTTTCAATCACACATTTTTCAATAAAATAATATTTTCAATCACATCAATAATTTTTTCTTTTTTTTCAACCACACATTTCCAATCATATCATTATTCAAAATCAATTCTTCCCCCCAAAAATCTCTCCCAAACAAGCTCATAATAAGTTGAAGAAAAAACGATTATTTTGGTGGTTAAAGGAAATGGTGAAGTATTTGAACTCATAATTTACTGTTTTTTATACATTTTTGCAGTACCCATCAGCTTACATTTAAGTACGAAAGACTTGCTTCACAGCTCTAATCTCACTGGAGTACTTGCAGAATACCTAATTTTACTTATAAAAATATTAACGTTAAAACTCATTTAGCCCCTTTTTGAGGAAAACAATGTTTTGAATAGTAATTTTAGGAAAAAGTGATTAAAAAGCAGGAAAAAATTTTAAATTTATGGGTAAAATATTTTATAGTGTAAATGCGTAGTTGAAAATGAATACATAGAAAAACAATTCGAATACTGATTGCCAAACAAGGGCTTAGTGCTTGTATGATAAAGCTTTAGTTTGATAATAATAAAAAAAAAATGATCAAACTTCAATTTTAACTGCACATTTTTCATCTACTTTTTCACCACACATTTCATGTCAATAGCTCACAGTCTGCTACTTGTAAGAAAACTTTCAACTAAACTTTTCAAGCTTAGGCAAACATGCCCAGATACATATCAACTCAAGATGAACTAGAGTTGAATAATCATTTAATACCAATTATAAATATTGAACTTTAAAACTCATTTGATTTAAGTAACTTAAAAGTTACAACTAAACTTTTCAAGCTTAGCAAAACATGCTCAGCTACATGTCAACCCCAAGATGCATTATGGTTAAATGGAATCATTTAATACCTTTCGGATATGTGGGAATAACAAATACAATACAAGTACATACTCGATATGAAATACAAGACACAACAACGGGTAGGTCGATCAGTTTCCTCACAGTACAACCGCAAAATCTTAGATAAATTTCAATTTTGTTAACTAGGCTTTAAAAACATGCAACACAAAAAAAACCGGCGAGAAAAGTGATGACAAATCTAAACAAACAGAGCAAATGCACCCTAGACGACAGGGATAACAATACACAGACTAGGGAAGGACGTGAAAATGTGAAGGCCATCTACATCAGAGTGCAACATCAACTCCAGTAATCAAAAGTCAAGATGTTGCAATGATTCTCGTGATATGAGAATGCAACTTCCAATATATATTTGTAATGCTTCCTTAGTATGATAAAGGAACAGAATGCACAAGTTTCAGATATCCATATAGAGAACATCGGTAGAACACCTGATATGCTGTAGTGTCAAGGTTTGCTTGTCAACTGAAGTCGATCAATGAGAGTTCGGGACGGACAGCTGTCTCTTGTTTATCTGGTTGCTTCGGGACATCATGAGCAGTCGTAGGTCCGGGCAGAGGACTCTTGGATGCTGGTGGGACACTTTCCTCGGTTCCATTAGGTTCTGAAACACTCGGTGGTGATGTCTGGTTCTGATTTTCTGAAGTTTTATCGTTCACATCAGGAGGAGCTGGAGCACTCGACTCTGGGACTGGGGTAACTGAAGCATCTGGCTCAGATTGTGCTGGAGCGCCTAAATCCGGAGTCAAAGCACCAGGTTCAGGTGTAGGTGGAGCTCCTGATTCTGGTGTAGGTGGAGCCCCCGATTCTGAATTCTGCGGAGCACCTGACTCTGTAGTGGGTGCAGCACCTGACTCTGTAGTGAGTGCAGCACCTGACTCAGGTGGTGTAGATGCATTTGGAGTTGTGGTCGTAGGTCCTTCCAAGAGCAACTGTTTTCCGGGTTGCTGCTGCGAATTCTGCATGGTAGGACCAGGTTTTTTCTGATTAGATTGACCAGGATTTGGACCATATAACGACGCCATGCCAGGAGGTAGAATCTCAATTGGTGGCTTCTTTGCTGCATCTTGCAAGCTTGTGAGCTTGGATTCCTCAAGGGAAGCCAAAAATGCAGCTGCAGCATCCATTTTGGTGGATGGCGTGTGCTCCATCTCTTTCTGCAGTATCTTGTTCCATGCCTGAACTAAGTTTCTTAATGAAGGTCGACCATGAGCCTGAGGAAAAAGAGGCTGGTCAGACAGTGTATTATTTAGCAATGTAAATGAAATAAGGTTTAACCAAATCATACATGAGAATGGAGCACAGCCTCAGCAAGCATCCCGGTCTCCTGCCATGCTTTCTCCATGAGTGCATTGTCTCCCAACAGAGCAGCCGCAAAGGCAGCTTCCCTTCCCGAACCAACTGAAATCAAATTGTTCACCATATTCTGCAAAAGATGCATGCATAGTCACAAGTCAGAGAGAAAAAAACCGAAAAATAAGAAGTTATTAATATTATTCACAGAAATAATTCTCATGCAACTAACAGATCACCAAAATTCAGATGCAGAAAATTCCAGTATCTGACTTTAAGTAACAAATTAATAACATCTAATGAGATTATTTTGTCTTAGAGTTGGTGCAAATATCTTTCTTTGTTCTTATATATAATTTTTTTTTCATTTTCCTTCCTTTTATTTCTCTTTCTTGCTGCTGCTTCTTCCCTTTCCTTTCTCCTTTTTCTCATTCAGCCACGAGATAATATGGATAACTAATCGGTGAACACCTAACTGCGACTCATACTTCACTGACTCTTGGCTGCATACTTGTAACGCTTCCTTCAAGAGATACATTTCAACCACAAACTTTCTGCAATAGCAAGGGCCATAAACTTGTCACCAAGGCACCAATGAACATATCACAAATTTCCCCTTTTGCTTTTATTCCCCTTCTGATCTTGGCTAGAGATCTTAGATCAACCCAAAACGTAACCTTCACTTTGTTAAAGAATCCATAATTGACTTCACAAAAGAACTAGCAATATATACTTGAGTACATAGATTCATTCATGCAAATATCAGAACCTTAACTGTCAACCAAACATGCTGAATACTTCCTGAATTTAAAGAAAAGTTTCATAGGGTGGCAAGACATACTGAGGTGGTAAAACCTTCATTTAATTTCACCGAAAGCATATACTAAGACCAATCTACTCCAAAATAATGGCAAAATCATGTACATGTAATATGATATATTTTGGACTGCACATCTTAAATGGGTGATAGGAAAGTGAGAGCATCAATAATCATGGTTAAGGTGTTGCCATATCCAGTGAAGACCATTAATAGAGTTGATGAAGAACAAAAAAATCAGTGGATGGAAACATTAAAGACCCAATTGAAATAAAAGTAACTAAAGATGTGGAAGGATGAAATTTGACAGAAATCAACATAGATAGAGCTGAATATGGAATAGGATTTACATAGCTGACCAAAATCATATTAGGTTCAATTGTATTGAGTTGCATACATAGATAGGTTTTATATTGTTTTACCACAATCAAGTTTCACACAGTTAATCAAAAAAGTTAGCAGCAAGATATAGAGGTCTAAATTTTTAGTGCGCATCAAAGACATAATAAAAACAGAACTGAAAACGAAAAAAAGTTAAACATGAACACGTACACTAAGCCGTGTCAACTCCCCATGATTTGCAAAGCGTAAAGCAAGTCCTCTCAACTCATGACCTCTTAAAGCTCCTTTTACTGAACCTGCAGCAGCTAGCCTCTTAATAGCTTCGCGAGCAATGTCAGCTTGTCCAGTAGCATCTGCAGCATCAATAAGATCCATAAACTCCTTCGCAAATTTAACTACTCCTTGAACAGCATCCACAATATTTTCCTTCTTTGAAGATAAATTCATAATGTCATTCAAATCCAACCCCAGAGCTTCTTGTCCTATATCTCTGCTGTTGCTCATTGTTAGGAGGCACTGATAGGCTCTTTTCAAATCACTACTCTGCATTGCCAGGTCAAACTCCAATCTCTTGGATATGCCAGGCAAGTGAAGTGCTTCGTTGGCATAACCCATCCCAAGCATAAATTGTGCTAAGTCATCATGGTGCTCTCTACCAAGCCTACTTGCCCATTTTACTGCACTAACAGCATCTCCATAGGCTGCAAGACACCGACAACGGATACCAGGATGGCTGAGCGATATTGCATGAGCACACATGTACCTATCAATTAGCCATAGAACACCATCTTTCACCCCTGCAACAACAAGTGGTCCAACAGGCCGTTTCTGCTCTGCTGGAAATCTAGTAACAGCCACCGCAACCCCACCACCACCAACAGCAACCTCATTGACTTTCCTTTCTTCTATCTCTTTTGGCATCGATGAATCGTCACCATCAACTTTTGATTGTTTAGGCAATGATAAAAATGGAGGTATGGAGGGAGCATGCTGAAACGAAGCTAATCTGACAACCTGCAACATCGGGGATCTCAATGTTATCCTTTCTTGTGAGGAGGTTTGTTGGGCATCAACTGCTATCAATGCTAATTCTCCGTGTTCTGCAACTGCTCTTGCTTGTGCCTCTTTAAGCTTCATCTCTTCTTTTCTTTTTTTTGTTTCAATGTCAATAGTTGTTATACCAGCATCCACAAAAACACACTCAACGGTGGTTGGTGTAGCAACAAATAACTGCCTTCGGTGCCAAACACCCCCAGTAGCATAAGGAATTGCCACATCTCCCAAGTACCGAAACTGAGGGCGCAAGGAAGATATGACAATATATTGCTGATAGCCAAAAGCACAATACTCAACAGTTTGGTCCCATGCTGTCCATTCTGGTTGAGGCAGAAGACCTCCCACTGGTTGAAAGGTTTCCCAGCTGTATAACTGGAAGTTCTGAGGTGGCACTTCAGCTGAAGATTTTTGTGAAGAAAATCCATCATCCATGGAGCTAAAAGAAGAAAGGCTGCTATTTCCAAATCCTGACAAGGGCATAGACTGTGTTGAAATAGCTGTGGCTGCAACAGGGCTAATCCTTCGTGATGTTCGATAAGCAACACCTAGTAGCGCTCCCCCGTGCAAACCAATAACTGGTTCATTGCGGCTACCAACTGACCTCATTAATATATTTGAGGTTCCATCATCAAGCAGGATACGAACTTGTACACTGGCAGATGAAGCTGCACTAGCAGCAGCTGCAGCAGCTTGCGCGGCAGCTGCTGCAGCTTCCTTTGCTCTTCTTGATGAGCTGCCTTTTGGGATTATTGGCATTCTGGGAGTTAATGCAGATTCCAGCAGAGCAAACCGGTCCCTACAAGTGTCCCAAGCCAAAAGCCTTGCACTGCCCGAATCAACAATAGACCAATCACTGACCTTGTAAACTGAGAAGTACGGAATATCAGGCCAAACAATGGCAAGGAACCTGCAACAAATGCAGAGAAAATCAATCAAAATACTTTTATGGTACAATCGTCAATTCCAAAAATAACAAATATGAAAACGCCAAAGAAACTTGAAACAGCCCAACAAAAAGGAGATCACAATAGCTAAGATTCCTAAGAACATTGTAAGGCTCATATGATAATGTTGAGCTTAAATATCTCTGGAAATCAAAATTGTTGATCATCATGCACAATACTTGGTAGATAAGAAGCACAATACAACTTACTTCCCTGAACTGCTCATAGAGAGAACTGAGTATGACTCATGTGGAACAGGAGTACTAATATGCTTTTTTATTTGCTTGACATGGAGTTGATCTGATGTGTCCCCCCTAAATCTTCCGGCATCATTCAAGGAGCCATTACTTCCAAGAACAGGGTTAGCAGTGTTAGACAATTGAAACTGTAGCAGTTTCAGTTCCCGTTCAACTACATATACAGCAGCATGTTCTCGGCTTCCTGGTGGTGTTGGCAGTGGAGCTACAGGTGGAAGTGATTTTCCATCGAATTCGCATACAAGGACACCAATATTGGTTCCAGTAGCAACAAGATGGGGTTGCAAAGAATGTGCAACCATGGAATACACCTAGATATAAATTCAAAGAAAATCAACTACATGGCCAATATGAATTATCATAGACTAATCACTCACTGTAGATGAATTTCTACAATGAAAATAGATAGTATTATATTCATACCCTAAGCTTCTTGTGAGATGCAAGTAATTGTGGTGGGACCAGTGATGAGAGTTCACATAATGGCCTCGTAAGAGCTGAATAAGTTGGATGCTCAATAGCCCTGCAAAGGATTCAATAGAAATTCACATTCCCCTCAAACAAGGATATGCAAGATGGATTCTTGAGTTATGTCATTCTTGTTTCAAACTTGTGTACTACAGCTCAAAGTATCTCGTTACTCATTTACAAAATAGTCAGAATAAGTGGATGGACAATCCGTAAAACCTGCACGTGGAGAGAGAGTATGCATACCATATATGAGAATCTTTAACAC